AGCAGGTAGAAAACACTAAAATGGGTGTTGGGACGGGTTAAATGTATCCAATTCTCAAATCTTCAAGAAGAGACAAAATTTTGCTAAAGGGTGATTTAATCATTAACTTTTCCTAACTATAAAAACAGAACCAATTTTTTTTTCAAATATTTTCAAGCTCTAAGAATCTGATTTTGTGGAGCACTGGTGTTAGGGACAAAGCCAGGTGTTCTTCATCTTTCTTTTCCACTAAAGACGCATTTTTGAGTGGCCACTGAATGCTTATGCAGCTACCGAGGCGGTCCCAGGACCTGCCTGCTAGCGCTCAGAGGTCTCTTAGCATCTTCTTAAACCAACCAGAATAATTTCCCTTATGTAATTATTAAGGGAACATCAGAGGTTGTATATTAATTTTTTTCTACAAAAATTGAAGTAAACAATATATTATTTAACTTTGAAAAAATACACTTTTATAGGGAATAGTAGACATAAACAGATTTATATAATGTCAAAAAGATAACTATTGTTTCTTTACCTTTTGTTTCATCATTGACATAATAATTGTCCTCCATGCATAATAACTTTATGTAAAAATATGTTAACAGCTAGTTTTCCAGGTTATTTCTCAGTGTGAAGAGAATATAGATCTCTTCCTATACTATGAGACACGTGACATTAAGCCAAATGGAAAGCTCTACAGGCCCGCGTCAGGACAGCTATCTTCATGATACACTCTCAAGCTTTAAATATGTTACTATTGCAAGAAGAGACTGGGGCTACTTCTTTATGTGTTGCATTATGCCACAAATCAAGAGTTTAGGATGTGCCAGAGCACAAAATTAACATGTGCAAGCCAAGCCAGCCTGTCTTCACTCTTCACCTCACTGAATTTGACACGCTTCCCCTGAAAATAGGAATAATCATGCCCTACCAGCCTGGAATCAAGAACAGCAATTTTGGGGGAAATCTCTCCAAATGTTATGATTTATCAAGTCAGTGTAGCATTTTCCCCAGGAGGTTGTAAGATTGGATTAACTTCAGTTTATTTTGACACAAACAGTGCAGTTGGACCAAGAAAAAAAAAATACGTCCATGGGGAAAAAAAAGTAGAAGAAAATAAAGTCATAAAATGAGACTCACAGGTCCACATTTTCACAAAATTTCCACTCTGTAATTGCAGCAAATTTTGAAAAATCTCGTGTTAGTTTGGAGGGAATGAGATACTTTCTTTGCTGTTACCTACACATGGCATGATGCTAGCTGTGACAGTCATTCCTAATTTATACATGTAGATAGCACATCTTCAAGTCTTAGAAGATCAGTTACAGTCTCTTTGTTTTCATTCTGCAGATAAAGATAACAGTATACTCATGCTGGTAGTCTTTTCTACCCAGTGCCTACGGCTTGTTGGCATCTGACCTGGAACGCATACTCAGATCTCTCCATTTCATCTTCAGCAATGAGTGGTGGCTCTTGAATTTTTCTTGCCTCATCCTCCTATTGATGGACATGTTACTAGGGAATTACAAAGCAGGAGGGGCAGTACTACTGACAGTTCCAAAGCTGAGAATGCCACACGCTTATAGCATACGTTCCAGAAGCTGCGTGTTATGAAGAATCTCCTGCTCTGTTAAAGAAATGTGACTGGTGAAATCGCATGGCTGCAAATGTCCCTAACCATCATGGTGATATAACAGCCTGAAGTTAAAATATTGATTCTGGAAATCCAGCATGCATTGACTCATGTATCAGCACTTCAACCTGTCACATTCCAATGACAGGGGCAGCACTAAGAGAAACATTCTATTCTAAAAACGTAGCCTCTTTCTGATACTTAGGAAACACTCTTGACCACGGCAGCTGTGCCAGGGATTACAATGCTGAAGGATGCTCCGTTTTGATTGAAAGATCCTTCAGTGGCCAGAGATATCTAGACAGGCATATCCAAATTAATATTTAAGTAATGCTACACTCAATCTATTCCAGGAAAGAAGCACATGCCAGTGATATCTTTTCCTGCCTAGCAAATATAAATATCCAGTGCCTCTCAATTTCTGAACAATAGAGAATGCAACTGTTCATTCTGGTGACTATAAATAAGCAGGCCTTACTTATTTATCTATGTATTTATTAAACAGTCAAATTGTGCAAGATGGAAATGTTGAGACGTCAGCTTTGTTGACCACTTGATATTTCTAAATGAGCATGTCACTGAACCCTAAATAGGAAGATTCAAACTGAAAGACTAAAATGCCTGACCTTCGACAACGTTTTTTCTTCTTTAATTACATTAAGACAAATTCAATAAAGCAGAGTAACATCTGAGATGGGACTTATTGGAGAGAAACACAACAGAAGCAGGTGCTCTTGCCACAGCTGACCTTGGCTCCAGCTCCAGCAAGATATCTCCTCTAGACCCACTGACATGCTCTTACAACTCATTGCATTTGTCATCAATTTAACTGAAATGTCTGCAGATAGAAATCTGCCATGAAACACAGCTGCCACCTTTCCCTTTTGCCTTGCACAAACTTTATCACATATCTAGTTCATATGATAATTTCATAGCTATATAAAATTTGCATGAAAGGGTAAAAAAATTATTCCATCTTTATATATACCTTTCAGCCAGAAACCTTCATAAATACTGCCTGAAGATAAATTAAACTTTGGCATGGAATATAATTTATGAAAATTGTGAAACACTTGACTTGATTCCACCAAAAAATATATTAGATTCTGATGACTAGCAGCCTTCCTCAGAAGTCACACATCAAAATGTGATGTAGAATTAAAACAGCAATATAAATTTTAAAAATATTTTAATAGTAAATCATATCACGTATATGGGTTATTAATTAAGCAAATGGCTTGCAACCATAAACCTGTTTTAATCATTTATATCTTAGCTTCTGCTAGACCTAGGGTATATGACAGACACAGAAAGAAATATGGCTCCTGTTGAGAAGAGAGAATATGACATCCTCACATTCTGTTACTTATTTTCTTTTAGCTCGTGTGATTTTAGTGACTGCTTTCCTTGGAGTTAAAAGTCGTAAAAACCGAAATTTAAAGGAAGCAAGTAGGAAACTTTCATTGAGTGCTGATGGCATTTCATCACCAGCAGTAAAGCTATGTAGAGTGAGAGTTGGCAAAAGAATAAACAAAAAATAAACAAAGTTAAATCTGGATAGACTGACAAATTCTGTTACTTATTTAAGCATCAGAAGTCCAAGTTGTATACAAAACTTGGTTTTGGTAGTATTGACAATATTCCTTAAATTTTACAGCTCGATTTTGTATTTTAAAGCTCTACCTAAGTTAATTGTTTTTTGACTACAGCTATAAGGCTGATCCTATATTAGTCTCTCCCTCATATCTCTCTCTTTCTCTCTCTCTCTCTCTCTCTCTCACACACACACACACACACACTCCCTTATATTTAGCAAAATCTAAGAATTATAACAAGGGAATCAAAATGTCAACTTAAATGGAGTTAAGGCTCAAGCCCTGAAGACAGACTTCCAAAACCCCATGTTCTCTTCTCTGTGAAACACACACACACACACACACACACACACACACACCAGAGGATGATGAGCTCCTTGAAGAACAGTGACTCTGCTCAATTCATCTTTCAATACTCCCTATCTAACAAGATACCTGACCTGTTGTAGATGCTCAGTGACTACTAGGGGAATGAAAGGAGTGAGCAATGATTAAGAGAAGGATGCATGGATGTTTCCAGGCTCCCATCACCAGCAGTTGCCAGTTCAGATGAACAACCTGACGCAGGTTGTTCATCTGAACTGGCAACTGCTATGCCCTAGTGCTATGATTTCAGGGAGTATCAAGGAGGTCACTGACTTAGAAAGGGATTATTCCTCTCCCAACCATGTCACTGATGACAGAGTCCCTTTGAAATCGCTCAATTACCTGACTACATGGATACCAATAATTATCAGGAGTTGGGCGTCACTTGCAAGGGCAGCCTATGACTTAGAGTCTACACCCACTAAATTGTAAAGAGGTGACATGTCCTGTCCCTTAGAGCAGATTTATACTATAATGATGAAGAACAAAATGGGTCCCTGGACAGAAAAGACAATAATACAAAAAGAAAAGGTACAAAATCTGGACAACCTCAAAATTTGCTAAAGGTTAGCATCATCTTAACTTGTTATAGTTAATGAAGACGGAAATAAAGAACTTACAGAACAAAATTCACAATTAGAAATGATTTATGACATTTTTATCATCTCCCAGATCTAAAATAAAAGAGAAATTTTTCTTGGACATGGTCACACAGTGATGTTGTAGGGGCTTAGCACAAAGGGAGCCTTAATATGTCCCCTACCTACAAACAACTGGCTGTTCAGCTGCAGTCGGAAATGGCCCTCCTCCGATGTCTCCCTGGTGCTCCTTGGAAGGTTGTCCACCTGCAGGGAGGTCTCCTTGAGGTTCCTCTCAGCCCGGACATAATGCCATTGGTTGTCATTCAGAAGAGAAGGAGACTGGACTACAAGCTCTACAGGACCATTCCCGACATCAATGGCAAAGGTGATCTCTGAAGGAGCTGAAACCAGAAAGGAAAACAGGAAGAAGGATAGAAGGCATTGTTAGCACATTCAAGGCACAAGCTTGAGTGGGAAAAATGATTGCAAGTTAATATCAATGTAGAGAAGATTTCTTTTGAAATCCCTGCAGCATTGAAATCGCCATTAATAGTAACATCCACTAAATTAAATGTGTATAGTTGTTCCAAGCTCTGTTTTCCTGCTACTTGTGCAAATTCAGGAAACAGGATAGGTACCTGGGCCATTCATGCTTATCTAAAAAACCTGCATAAGTGCCAAGACCCTGGATTTTTTGGATCTGTTGTGGCTTCAGCTGTGTCCTCAACGATATCTGCAGACATGGGGTTAGCTAGGCAGCTCCACTCCTGCAGGGAAGAGACTCATTCCCTGGGAAACCCAGCGCCTCCTCCTTATTTTAATGCATGTAATACAAGCATTTGTGCTATTTCCGTAACAAAAAAGACTCAGAAAGTTGAATTGCCCTCTACAAGGAGACACTGCTGCAGGTTGCAGTGCATGCAATCAAACCCAAGCCTCCAGTCATCACAGGGGACTCCTTCCATGATTCTTTCTGCCTCTCTAGAACAATCTTTGTGTAATTGAAGCCAGATGGCAGCCAGTCAGAAGTAAGCATACTGGTAATGGTGAAATGACAATGGTGATGGTAGAGGTGATGGTGGTGATTGTGGTGGTGGTGGCGGTGGTGGTGGAGGTGATGGTGCTGCTGATGGTAGTGGTGGTAGTGCTGGTGGTATTGATAGTGGTGGTGGAGATAATGATGGCGGTGATGATGGAGGTGATGATGATGGTGATGGTGGTGATGGAGGTGATGATGGTGAAGGTGGTGGTGGTGGTGACGGAGGTGATGATGGTGATGGTGATGATGGTGATGGTGGTGACGGAGGTGATGATGGTCGTGATGGTGGCGATGGAGGTGATGGTGGTGATGGTGATGGTGGTGATGGAGGTGATGATGGTGATGGTGGTGATGGAGATGATGATGGTGATGGTGGTGATGGAGGTGATGATGGTGGTGATGGTGGTGATGGAGGTGATGATGATGGTGATGGTGGTGATGGAGGTGATGATGGTGATGGTGGTGATGNTGGTGATGGAGATGATGATGGTGATGGTGGTGATGGAGGTGATTATGGTGGTGATGGTGGTGATGGAGGTGATGATGATGGTGATGGTGGTGATGGAGGTGATGATGGTGATGGTGGTGATGGAGATGATGGTGGTGATGGTGGTGATGGAGGTGATGATGGTGGTGATGGTGGTGATGGAGGTGATTATGGTGGTGATGGTGGTGATGGAGGTGATGATGGTGGTGATGGAGGTGATGATGGTGATGGTGGTGGTGGTGGTGATGATGGAGGTGGTGGCAGTGGTGGTGATAATGGTTGTGGTGACAGTGGTGGTTGTGACAGAGGTAATGGTGATAGTGACCGTGGCAGTGCTGTGGTGGTCATGGTGATGGTAGTGATAGTGTCATTGCTGTTGGGTGGTGGTGATAGTGGTCATGGTGGTAGTGATGGTGGTGGTGATGGAGGTAATGGTGACAGTGATGGTGATAGCGATACTGGCAGTGCTGGAGATGGTAATGGTGATTGTAGTGATGTAGTGACTCTAGTGATGGTGGTAGTGATGGTGCTGGCAGTGGCGGTAATAGTGGTGATGGTAGTGGTGGCAGTGGTGCTGGAGGTAATGGTGATGGTGGTAATGCTGATGGTGATGGTGATGATGGCAGTGCTGGTGGTGGTAATGGTGATGGCGGTAATGGTGGTGATGGCAGTTACAAAGGTGTTGGTGATGGTGTAAGCAGTGGTGGTGGAGATGACAGTGGCGTAACCATTAAGAGAGAGAACTGGAAGTTGTAGCACAGCAGGAACGATGAACTCTCTGCCAGGCACTACGCTAGGCACTGACCTTGGATTACCTCATTTTAATATTCAAAACCACCCTATAAGAAATGTATCATTATTCTCATTTTATGAGTGAGAAAACTAAAGTTCACAGAAATATAAATAATTTGCTGAAAGTTTCCCAGGTGGTAAGTAGAATCTAACTCTAAAGGCAGGGGTCTTCACTATTTTGCTCTATTGAGTATAATTGTCTTGTGCTTTCCATTATCACGTAAGTTTTTTTCTTAATTTAAAGGAAGTGAAGAGGTTAATTGTAAACTGAGGATGAGGAGAAGACTGGAACTTTCATATGTTAGACATTCCTTTTTTTTTCTAGGCACCTTTACAATTGCTCCCTCTCCTCTATCCCCTAAAACAGGAAATGGGTATTTATTTGACAAAGTCATCAACTGCCATATTTAAATTATCAGAAATGCCAAGACAAACTCTACCCCAGACCACTCTCTTCTCAGCCTTTAAACCTTAATCGAAAGCAGCCTAAGTCAAAGTCCCCATTACACAGAATTCTGAGTATCTGAGAGCTTGAATTACTTTGCTTTCTGGTAAGCCCTGATCTTAAGGAGAGGAAGTAGGGTGGAAGCAATAAGAATGGGATTTGAGAGCTTGGACTCTGGAACTACTGCGACCTAAGGCAAGTTTTCAATGTCACCATGCCTCAATTTTCTTGTCTGTAAAATGGGGATACAACCAGTACTTAAATCATCAGATTGTTTAGGGATGAACCCTGATAAAGTTATTAGAACTGTGCCTGACACATATTGCATGTTCAACAAGTGACAGCGTTGTTATTATTACTGTGTCCCGTGATTTTTCAACCTTGGTAAATTGGCTTCAGGCTACAAATTCATGCCTTAAAGGAAACAGAATTGAAGGGAACAGATTGAGTGACGAGCAGTTAGACTAAATAAGAGTGAAGGTGGCCCCTTGAGTCTTTCCCTGTTTCTTATGCAGATCACCAATGCCACCTGGCAGCCCTGCACATCTCAAAATTTAAAAACACTTAACTGAGAGATGACTGGACTCCACATTTACATTTTTCTCTAAAGGAAACAATAAAATTGGTGAGAATTTGGGTGAAGAATGTTAAAGATTTTGCTAAAAGCTTTCCTGCAAGGCCAGCCTTGTGGATATTAAATTCCACTGAGACGGTGCATGTTTGTGGAGGGCTTGCTGCTCTGCTGTCTCTGGCCCTGCGCCCTGACCACCACCTCCATGTTAGGTTTCCTATCTGTGCTTCCCTCTGTTCCAATATGCAGCCCCCCTGCTGTATAATAATCTGTCTTCCCAAGTCTGCAAACTCTAGAAGAACACTTTATTTATTATATACTCAACACCTAGTACTGTGCCTTCTATACAGGAAGTTCTCATTTTTTTCATTGATACATCATTACATTGTACATACTAAATGCAATTCTGCAATTTTCTTTAAACTTTTACAGTTTTATACCAAGGTGTTAGGGTCCTTGGAAACTCTTTAAATTCTTACTATTTAACTTTATTAAAGCAACTATTAAAGACACACTATGTTTAAGCAATTCCTCCTAGAATCAGTAAAATTCAATAAAATTGGTTGATATTTATTGAGTACGTACTGTAAGCCAAGTACCCCGCTACTCGTTTTTCGTGAATTGACTCTCCTAAGCTTTGCTACAACCTTATGAGCCAGGTAATCTTTTACAGATGAGGAAACTGAGGTACAGGCAGCTAAGTAAGCTGACCCAGTGGGGATGGGGTAGACTCAGGATTTGAATACAGGTGGTGTTTCCCAGAGCTCCATTTGTAAATCATTATTTCTATGCCAAAACCTCCAAATCTGGAAACCTGTGCAGTTTCCCTGGGTAGTCAAAGCTAGAACAGATAATAAAGGTTCCTGAAAGCAATGTGAGTGAATGAATGATACATCCCACTTTGGCGGGTGCCTTTATGACAGGGCACTTAAGGCAAACTCAAGCTGGCTGTCACTTGCTGAAGAGGTGAACATTGCCCACGGGCCCTGAATAGGACGGGAGGACACCCATGACAGCACTAGCCCTGTCATGAACTTACCCTCTAAGCTACCCTTCCCCCAACCTTCTGACAAATGCCTTCTCTCACCAGGTACTTCTTCATGGTTCAAGGCAAAGCTAAGGGGTCTCCTCAGCCTTTCAGGGAGTTTTTATTCAAGCCAGGCCCTGTGCTAGGCACTGAGAATTCTGAGACAAATGAAACAAGATGAGCTTCCGATTTCTTTTGAGAAGACTGATAAAGAAAAGAAAGGGCATGTTTAGGGCGATTACAGAGTTTCTACCAAGTGCTCCTAGGACATGAGAAGAAGGCTGCTAACAAGGCTCTTGTAGGATGTTCTTCCAGGACTGACCACCAAGCCCACTGGAGAACATCCTTGGTATACAAGTCCTGAGCTTCATGAAGACGGAACCACACTCTATTTCTGTGCCCTCAATTCGCACCCCAGGTCGGCATGGGAGAGATTTCAGGATCCAGGTATGGAATAATAATGTGTAAGGCCTTAACATAGTGAGTTAATCTCTCTGACCTTCCATGTGTCCGTGTGTAACATGAGAAGTATGAACTAAATAAAATACCATTAAAATTTTTTGGAGACATCATCTCTTTAAGGATCTGATGGCAGCCACAGTTTCTATCTTTAGACAAATAGTCCATGTGGTATTACACAGAATTGCAGGGGCTTCCCATCGGCACTGTGCCTCAAAACCTGTAAATAATTGCATGTTCTCTTGAGTTCTAACATTGTCAATCCTGTAGACCCGTGCAAAGCAGAGCTAGGGGGGTGCCGTAAGGAGCCAGACACAGCTGGGTGGGTTCTGGATTCTAACTCTTCCCAGCCATTCGATCCAGGACTTGTCACTTCTCTCTAGGCTCATCCTTCTGACCTGCGCACTGTGTGATGATAAAATCACAGTACAACATAGTGATAGTCGTCAATGGCAGTGCTTGGAAACAAAATGAAATCGGGAAACTAAAGAATTTAGTATAGTTTCTAATCAGAATAATTGCTCAACAATTCAACAAAAATGGAATTATTGATAGTATTCATTTGTACTATTTTCTGAAGTTCTAACTATAATGTGTCCAAGTGAACATCACATTTGGTTATATTCTCAGTATGATACTCTGAAATCATAAAATTAAATCTTTCTCTCTCTTTTTGTGTATATATATGTACATATACAGTATATACACATATATACACATATATAAACATATACATACATTCACACACACTCACACACACACATACACACACACACACACATACATACAGCATATATATGTACAGTTTTTCCCTGATCAACTCAGGAAATTTCTGGTTTTGTTTCCTTTCCAGGCATTTTTAAAAATAAATTATACATTTAAATTCTGACAGCAGACTTAGAAGAATCCTCATTGATTGTCTCTCTGACGACTACCTTCTTTCTAACAGTACTGTTTGCTTTGGGAAACTATTCCCTCTTTCACTTTCCCATGAGCTTTAGGGGAAGCTACCCAATCTCTGGTGTGGGGGTGGGCCCCGGTATAAACCAGTCTGTGATCTGTACTTTCCCAGCCCCAGACATTGGTTCTTAGGGGCCAAGTGAATGGTCTCTCAGGAGGATTATTGTAAGGCAGGAAAGCAGGGATTCTTCACCAGCTGGGGATGCAGCTCCACCATGAGGAAGAACTAGCCTTAGACTGAAGTAGACTTCAACATTCAAAACAGAGAGAGAAAACCATCAGACCACTGGTAACTTTGTTAAACTACTGAAAACAACCATAAATAAAGCCAGTCCTACCTCCTCTGAGCTCAGTCGCATGCTCCAGTACAAGTGAATTTCTATTCTTGTGGCTGCCAGTTGATTGAATTTTCTGTTATTTGCAGCCAAAGGCATTTGGGTGGCATATGGATGCCACAAACCCCATGTTGCATAAACAAGCATAGGAAGGGAGAAGAACTTGCTCAAGGCAGCTCACAAACCCACTTGGAAGAATGAAAGTTTGGGTCCACATTGTGTTCTGATCTAAGTTCTTTCCACTATGCCAGAATTGACTCCCAAAGACCATTTCCTTCTGCTCTCCTCATCTACTCTAAAATAGCAATTTCTACCTGTACAGCGATTGTGAGATAAGGATCAAAATAGTCATTGTTTTCACAGGCTCACTAAAACACATTCACTAAGATTTGAAAACATAGCGGCATGTCTTCTTTTTCATAGAGTATGGGCTACAAAATTTAAATATCTTTGAAAGCAGGCTGGAAAGAAAAGGATTGAAAATTTCATGGAAAACTACTGTTCCCTGTTCAACAATTTGGATATATCAACCTTGGAAACTGCTGCTCAGATAGTTTTAGAGGAACACTCCTTGGGCATGGGAGGGAAAGCTATTCTGAGCCACTGTATCTGTTAAAAGGCCATTTCCTTTCCAAGTGGCTGGTCTGTGGTGGTTTCTTGCTATGAACCCTTTAGGGTAAAAATTACATCTGCCTAAAATGCATAATGTGAGCGTAGCTGTAAATAAAGAATGCAAGATGCTCCCCTCTCCCACCCCAAAGTTTGGTCTTTTCCCCTTTTAAATATTAATAATAACAAATATTTTGAGAACTATGAGATCTTGAACTTTTCAATGTTTTTATATAAAATGTTGTCTTGGAAAGTATATGTTCTGCAATCTGGTGATATACAGAAAATTACTTCAATGGGTTTTGATTTTTGTCAAATGTAGTTACAACCTGTGTTAAAAGCAACATTGCATAAGCCAAAGGGAAAATGCAATACCACAAAATACAAACAAATTGGACATTGATATGTAATTAACACTAAATCATCAGTCATTACCTTGTAGTAATATACCATGACATTTGCTGCTATTTTAATGAATCAAAAGGCCACGGGGCCTAATTTTTATTAAATTTACATTGAGGTTCTCATAGCCATATTATAAAATGGTTGGCATTCAACTCAACCGTTTTAGAGACTGGCCAAGTTAGGTATGAGGGATCTTGTTTCACACCAAAGCCACAAGAGCTTCCTCCCATTAATAGTCTCAGGCATTGGAGTAAAAGGAGGTTAAAACTACCAATTAAGAAGATCTTTTTCCTTGTATGTATTGTGCTGTAGCTGCAAAAGAAACACTTAGCTGCTTGGTCATTTGCAGGGGACTTAGACACCTCTACCATCTCCTCCAGCTCCCCAATCAGTTTTCATTTTTGGGCGGGGGAGTCTCCTTTTCTGGAGCTCTCAAATTTCCAATTTCTGTTGCTAAGACATTACTTAGGCTTTCAAGGGTATTTCATGCAGTCACATCATTATAATGATATGGTCAATTGCCTCAATCAAACTACAGAAAAACATTCACTTAGACACACACAGATAGGGCACCTAATGACAAGCGTGAGTCTTTATGGTCATGGAAATAACAAGGGCAAGCTGTCGGGTGCAGCCTACTCTGTGTATAAGCAATAAGGAAGGCATTTGAGTGCAGAGAACCTAAAACAATAGCAAAAGTCACTAAAATACATCCTTTTAAAAATTATTACCCTGCACAAATAATTCTAAACAATGTCAGTGATAAATATTCCTTCACCAAACAAATTTTTTGTTGGTCTGTTTGAACAAAGATGCTGAAGCTACTGTTATTATTATTGTTTTTTTCTGACACAGAGTTTCACTCTTGTCACCCAGGCTGGAGTGTAGTGGTGCAATCTTGGCTCACTGCAACCTTTGCCTCCTGGGTTCAAGCGATTCTCCTGCCTCAGCCTCCAGAGTAACTGGGATTACAGGCTCCTGGCACCACGCCCAGATAATTTTTGTATTTTTAGTAGGATGGGGTTTCACCATATTGGCCAGGCTCGTCTTGAACTCCTGACCTTAAGTGATCCTCCTGCCTAGCCTAGGCCTCCCAATGTGCTGGGATTACAGGCGTGAGCCTCTGCACTTGAACGCGAATGTTAATTTTTAACAATGTATGTGTAAACTTCAAATTAGTATGTTTTATTATTTTCCACTTAATAAATATTATATTATGAGGGAAAGTTAATACAGACAACTCCAGATTTACCATTGTCTCCTAAACATACAGAATCAAATATATTTGTTTATTTTAAGATTAAGAACTCAAGTTCTCATTTTTCATCTGTCTGATTACTGTGCTAGCATTAACTTAAATCTAATGTTGAATACATGAATGTATGGAACCACAGAGGTTTGAGAAAAAATTTACACCTTACTAGAAGTCAAGCAATTTCAAATTCTTAGGAATATGATAACTTTTTACCTAATAGAATAGAAATTTGTGATATATTTTCTGCTGAAAATACTTTAGTGGTATTTTTTTGCTTGCAGAAATATTTGGAAGTTTCTAAAACCAATCCTGAAATAAAAACATTGACAGTACTGGAATTTCCAGAATTTAGTATAAAATCAATTTTTTAATGAATTTTTAACAAATATATTCTGAGGTTTAAAACCTTACCTATTTGCATAGCTCCTGTTTCATAGGAAAAACCTAAAGTTAATAGAAAGTATGATTTGCTCAATATAAGATAAATGAAGATGAGTATACTCTTTCGAACATGAGCATGGGAAGAAATTTAAATTTTATAAAGTCACTGTCAAATTTGCAGAGGTGGAGACTCAGGAACATAAATTTAAATGTGTTACTATAATCACAAAAGAGAAGTATGGAGGTATGCTTTTTCCTTTTTTATTAAAAATATGACTTCATGTAATTTTTTAATTGTGTTTTATTGGTATCGAAACATTATAATATTAGTATAATTATATACAAAATGTTTAATTATAGGAAATTTCACCATCTGTATTTCTATTATTTTTTCATCGCATGTCACGATTATTACTGAATATAGTTTATATGTTGGGTATGCAGTGCTAAGAGGTGATCCACTTCCTGGCATCAAATATATTAGATATGCCACTGTTGTTGGGGAAGTGGTAGAGAAACCATGGCAATTCTGATTGGATTAGTCACATGCCCCTAGGGTGGGAAATAAGTCAGGAAATTACTTTTGGAAAAAAGATAAAATAAAAAAGGAGACCCCGACTATGAATAGAAAGCATAATAATCCTCTTTTCAGCTTTGCACGGAAAGTGTCATAGCAAAAGTCCTGTAGTATGGAAGATTAAAGTCACAAGTAAGAAATACCTTTGGAAACTAATAGGTGTCTATGAGAATTTTTGGAATGTCCATAGTTTGATGAGAGAATGACTGATTAAATACTGACAGTTCATAAAAAATCATAAAGCATCAGAAGGAACCAGACATTATGACCTGCTGATTTTACAGATGTCCAGTGAGATTAATTTGCTGGTACAAATGCTCAGTAGTGATTGGTGGCAAAGACAAGGCTAAAACCTGCAGGTCAGTTACATTAAATTCATAATTTAGGGCACTTACAGCTTATTTCGAGTCGAATGAAGTCTTTAATGCCAAGATTTTCTAGGAAAACTCCGGATAATGCTGTGGTTTTAAAAAAGAAGGAAATATCGGCACTGAATTCCGCATGGAAGGTAGGAAAGTGGAGGTAAGAGGCTTCTGTATAAAAGGAGACGGCGTTCCAGAAGTGTCCTGCAAATGAGAAAATCCTTCAGCATGGTTTATCTTTTTCAATGGGATATGAGAAAGCACTGGGCATGTGGATAATTTTCTAGACTAGGGCACACTGCAGGGAAAAGGGATAAGGGAGTAAAAACATCTTGTGTTCGTGTAATGCAGAGAGAAAGCTTCTTTCGATTTAGTACTCACGGTCACCATAGCAACGCAAGGGACCAATTCTCCAAGCGGCTTCTGAGTTTGATCTGTCGGTATCAGTGATAACTATCTGAGTGACAGGCAAGTGGTCTTTGAAGGAAAGAAAGCCAGTATCATTTGTCCTGCAAAACATAAATTTAAGAAAAAAAGAGGACAAAATGTGGATAATCTAGGGACTCTTCTCCATGGCCCCTCTTTTCAGAAGTGATTTGGGCAGTTGCAGTAGGGTAGGGACAGAGAGGGGGAAAACAGAAGGCCTTTGGTGGCCTAAGTGTGTGTGGAAGGAAGGAATGTTAATTACAAAACCCATGGCCGACTTCCAAAAACAAGTGAATTTTACGTCTTCCCCACGTGTGCTTGTAGAAATGGATAGTTTACCAAGACTGCTGCTGCTTTTGGTGGCTAAGAGCACCCCACCTGCTCAATCTGTGCTAATGTAACATTAAACTTCACCTCTCATTCCCATAAAGAGATCGGCTATCTCAGCAACTAACTTGAAACGGCCATCACAAATTCCACTCAGAAATCACCCCAAGGACTTGTTTCAGCCACCTGCCAACAGGTTTTAATCAAATTTAGATTTTTTTTTAAACCACCTTTTGACTCTAGGTGCTTTGTAGTTACTGGTTTGTTGCATTTCTTTTGGTTCTTAAAGATCTCGGTGGTCAATGATCCTGGCTTTGTTTTGGTTAATCATGCAAATAAGATATTGACTAGTCACCTTTGGAAAAATTAAAAAAAAAAAAAAAAAAAAAAAGAATAGGCTAAGCCATGGGCTATTTTCTCTTTCTTTTAAGGTGGTGTTTTTGGACTCATAGTAAGGGTCACATCATTTGGCTGAGAGGAAAAACTGGATGTAGGAAACTAGCATTGAATTTATAACCATTTTGAGGCAGATGGGTATTTTCCCCCAAACGATAATCCTGTGCAGTGGATGTCATTATGCCCATTCACAATTGAGGAAACTGAGGCTCAGGGATATTGGATAACTGGCCTAAGGTCACACTTTACACCACAGAAGAGGCAGGAACAACGTCACATTCTTGGTATCCCCAGTATGCATCCCATGTCTTAAGGACATAGTTTTAGAAGCATACAGCTGTGTTCCAGAATCCCAGTGCCCAGGTCCTAGCGGTGTTAGACTTGGCATATGATTTCATGTCTGAGATCCTCAGTGTGCTCAATTTTAAAATGGAGATAACATCTACATCACAGTGACTGACGGGTTTAAAAGAGATTATGTAGTCACTTAGCATGGTGCCTGATCTATGGTAAATGCTCGAAAATGGCGACAGTGACACTTATTTTAGTTCTCCTCTTTGTTCCTGAACTACTCTGTGGCCCCAGGCAAGTCAATTCATCTTTTTATGCATCCAGCTATGATTCTGTATTGAAGAGCTTATACCACACAGCACAGGTAGAAAATTAAATTTTCAGATTTATTGTCCAACTCATGAAATTTGGAGAAAAACATATTACTTCATCTCAGTTATAAATAAGTCAAATATTCACCTGTACACATATTCCTATAGGTCTATCAAATGGAAAATGTAAAGAAATGTACTGCACGATATCTACAATTCCCATACCTCTACTTAGAGGCCATTCAAAGGATATAGAATAAGGCTTTTGTCTCAGTTTGAAAGTACATCTATGAACTTTGCATAGATGCAGGGATGAATTTGAATCTCCACATTCCACTATCTTTTCAGGCAGAGATTTCAAAGCAAATTCCAAACAGTCAAAGTGGAATGAAGACCAAGCAAAATTTCTCTCCTGAAGAAATTTTATACTGCTGTAGAATTGCATGTCTCTCCATTTCCATTTTCAAGGTGAAAATGGTAGATTCTAAAGTCAGTCCATCAATGCCAACTACTGCCTTCACTATACACTCTGGCATCTTGTCTACAACAATTTGATGCTTTTGTGTCAAAGTGTTTGTATCTACAAATAGCACTCTAAGAATAAAAATCTCTTCCAAATAAAAGGGAAAAAAATCATATTTAGTTTGATGATGCAAGGCACATTACTAAGAATACTTTTTACCTGAAAACTTAAAGTAAATTACTCTCTAAAGCTGTTTCATGTAACAGAAACAGATACAAATGTAAATGCCTACAGGGGCCAAGCAAGTCAAAAAGTGTGTGAATCCAGCTTTGTATTAGTAATAAATGGAAACTGACACACAATCTCAGTGTCGGGGGAAAGAGAGATAAGCATAAAGTAGGTGTCTCAACTAAAGCAGTGCTGTAGTATTAATTAACAACAGGAAATTGTGCCATTCTTTAATACAAGACCAAAGAGCCAGACTAGATTATTAATGAAAAAGTTTTCAGTTTTTAAATATTGGCAATGAATTAAATTTCTTTAAAAAATTATAGTGGGAACCTACACTGTCTGGACCAATCCACCCCATGTGAGGGATGCATTGAGCCTATAGGCAATGGAGCCATCAAGGGGAATTTGCATACTTATTCTTGCTTTTAAGGTCCATTAGTGATATGATTGGATTGAATTAAATTTGTGGGTGACAGTTATGATTCCAACATTTCAAAGCAATGGGTAGGACAATTGATGGTGATGGTCGTGGTGGGTTTTAGTCACAATAAAATGATGCAAATGATGGTGGTACCTGTTGATAAGCAAGGAGCTGACAGTTATAGATTTGCTGTCTTCATGCCAAGGGTAAGGACTTTGCAGACTTTCACTTCCTTTGGAACAAAACGCAAGGTGCTTCCTAAGTACAGTTAAGAGATGACTGTGTTGTGTGTAGGACTCCAGCCTGTCACTGGGACCAGATGACACGAGTTGAATCCATGTACCTCAATACCCTAGTAGTATAACGGCATTGAGGTCACTCTAGGCCTCAGTTTTCTTATGTTTTAAATAGTTATAACAATAATAATAATAATTTGATATTGTATGAATCAAAGTGAGTTATGTATACAAAATAGTTAACACACCAACTTGTAGATAGTAGAGACTCAATATATAGTTTTGAAAATTCTCATTAAAGTTTGAACTAAAAACATGACACATAAAGAATATATAAAAGGAGAACAAGAAACAGCACCCCACAGCTGGAATGCATGAGCAGAGCCGCCAGACACTCTCGTTTATGGAGCCTACAAGGACGCATAAGATAGGCATGTGATCCTTAAAAAACACTTTAGTATGACCTAAAAAATAGTAAAACACATGTGGCAAGAAGAAACTTAAATATTCTCAAGAGCAAGGGTATGGCACAGAATTAGTCTATGTGGTCTTCTTTAAGCATATGAATCTTGGTATTTCACCCAGTTTAGAGTGGCAGAGTGCTGGTGGGGCATCATTGTATCAAGTCTGATGAAATGTCACAGACTGACATTCATTTTCACCAACCAGTTTTGGCTCACTGCTGCTTGGTAAGCTTCTTTCCGTACATACTTTGGGTGATTTAACTATAAGAAATATAGTGAGGTTTATTTCCCTCTTTTGTGTCCTTTCCTCTTTTAGTCACTCAGAAGTAGCAAATAGAATTTTTTTTTTTTTTTTTTTTTTTTTTTTTTTTTTTTTTTTTTTTTTTTTTTTTTTTTTTTTTTGAGACGGAGTTTCGCTCTTGTTACCCAGGCTGGAGTGCAATGGCGCGATCTCGGCTCACCGCAACCTCCGCCTCCTGGGTTCAGGCAATTCTCCTGCCTCAGCCTCCTGAGTAGCTGGGATTACAGGCACGCACCACCATGCCCAGCTAATTTTTTGTAGCTTTAGTAGAGACGGGGTTTCACCATGTTGACCAGGATGGTCTCGATCTCTTGACCTTGTGATCCACCCGCCTCGGCCTCCCAAAGTGCTGGGATTACAGGCTTGAGCCACCGCGCCCGGCCAGCAAATAGAATATTATATATGGTAGACAAATATAAAAGTTTAGGAAGAATTCAAGACCTCAGCTCCCGTTGAAGGCCATGTGTGAATCTGAGTGGATCAACTTCAAGAGACTCCACAACCCCTTCCCTTGAGTGGGGCACACATGATGTTCTTCATTTCTTGTGGCTGGAAAGGAGGAATGACCAGTAAGATGCCTGCAAGCCACTCTTCAAGTCTGCACTGCTGCTTGCTGATAATTCATCTTACCTTTGTTTAAGGAAGAATTATTTCTCTTTTACTTTCTTTCTCAACACTTCCATATTAAAAAAAAAAAAAAAAAAAGAGACCAAGGAGATTAGGTAACAAGAAGGTTTAAATGAGCTTAAGGGTCATTTGGCTGCCAACAGTTGACTGGTTAAATATATAGTCTACCCCAGGATAATATCCATTCCCCTGTGCTCCACACAGACGGAACCACATCTGGAATCTTGTTTTTATTTCCTAGAATAAGAAACTAGGGGAGAGGGCAAATTAAGTATGCATTTAAAATGTTCGGAAACTATTTTTTTTCTATAAATGCCCTAGAAACCTGAAACCAAAGGACTTTTCACAAACAGGTACTTTACTGTTAAGAAATGAAAATGGCCCTCAAGACATTATAGTTGTAAAATTGATTTAAAAGATACTACCAGAGATGAAGATTCTAGGAGGCATAATTTGAAGAGCATGCCCTGAATATAAAGAAAGAAACAATGAATGATGCCATTTTATGTGTGCATATATATATATACACGTATATATGCACATATATATACATATATATACATACAGTATATATGTGTGTGTGTGTGTGTATGTGCATATATATATATATGCACATACACACACTCTCACACACACACACATATATATATGCACACACGCACACTCACACACACACATATATATATGCACACACACACACTCACACACACACATGATTTCAGGTGTGTGTGTGTGTGTGTGTGTGTGTGTATGTGTGTACTTTCTAGATTGCCATCAGCCTTATTCAGGAAGCAATTAGATTAAAAGTCAAAAGTATTAGATTACACAACATACTTGTGATTCAACACCACTTAGATCTGGATGATTCTAAAACATACATCTCTCTTTCTCTGGAACAAATCAATTGTTTGTCTTCTCCAACTCTCCAAATTTCTCAAGACTCAACTCGAGTTTCCTCTCAAAAATGTTGCCAAATATTCTATATTCTCTTTTCCTTCTCAATTCTAATTTCAAT